TAATCATTTCTTTACTAGACCTTGACAAACTGTTATACAATGTTTCAATTATACCCATTGATTTGTTGAAATTGATAGGAGAAAGGGATCTCACAAATTTAAAGTCCCTTAAATTAACACCCCAACACATAATTTCTTCCTTGTAACTTGGTTAAATTTTTCCCGAAAGCTTCATTCAAGTCAATTTACTCGCTTTTGAAATATCTGGTGTAGACTTTTTGCCCTTAAATCACTTTAATTGGTAATCACATGCACACTCCACCCTAGATTGACATAAATATTAGGAGGCACATCCTTGATATATAGTGCTTCGGTAACGCATGGAAAAGTTCCACAATGATTCCACTTATTTATAGTTCCTGCTAAAGAACAAGAGGAAAAACTTAGATAAATTACAGGAGAGTGAAGCATACACTGAAGATTATGATGTCTTTGTATTGTATTGGGTTTGTGTGTAGCACACCTGGTGATGTACCTTGCGGAGAGTAAGACGCTGTTGTTGTTTTCTTATGTCTGTGTAGTCTCTGAGGACATACCAGGCTGCACGTCTCTGGATCATCTTCAGTTGCTTTTTTAGCTTTGGCTGTACACATTTAGTTATATGCTTGTTCCAGATTGGTCTGTTGTCAGAGTAAGTCCATGTATCTTGTTTCCTTCACATGTTTAAGGACATCAAGAAGCATGTAAGCTGAAATTTTTTTGGTGGAACTGCATGCACCAGGCATCGTCCCAGACAACAAGTGTAAGTGTTTACTGTTTTCATTTGAGTGGTAGTAGAGTAGATGATCGTGTTGCCAGCAAAGAGGTGTACGTTTGAAAGTAGACCATCCGGTAGATCGTTTATGTAGAAGAGGGCCAAGTGCAGACACTTGCGGTACTCCACAAACTACATCTGCATTTTCCGACATCTCTCCTTCCACAAGCACATTCTGTTTCTATGTGTTAGGAATTGATTTATCCATGATTGTTTTCCCTCTTTATACTATGTTTTAATTCCTGAATCAGATGCTTATAGGCAACTTTATCAAATGCAGTATCGAAGGCCAATATAAGAACATCTGTCTCCAAAAAAGATCAAGAATTAACCTATGCTAACCGGAGTACATGAACACAGATCTAGATCCGGTTGGCGGTGATGGTTTAACCCCAAACTTCGGTTTGGGTGCCCTTGGTGTTTATTGTTTTTTCTGCCTTTTTATTTTGTCTTTTATCATTGTTTTCTTACCTACAATATTGTCGAGCGTATAGAGACCTCGTTTTTGCGCTATATAAATACATCAATATTATTTACAGGGCCGGCAAAATGTTTTTTTAAAGTCATAGTTACCAACCTGAGAGATTTGAAATGCGTGACGACGCCAGCTGGCTTGGGAGGAGCGGGGGGGGGGACGTGGGCGTGGTTACCGCAGGGGTCCAGGGGTGAAACCCCGGTGACGGTCGGGTTTGAGTCACATAATCAACGGTTGGTTCTGGGAATAAACGCGCAAGACTGCATGAGCCTCCTAGATTCTGCTAAGTGCGTGGTTGTCTGAGTTATTTTGGTCAAAAAATAGAAATATTCTCGGTGAATTGATTCTCGAACGAGATAACGAAAGCTCTCTAATGACTCAAGTTACTGCATGACTGTTTATATTTTTAATAAAACCAATTTCTTCTAATTTTTTCCCCTAAATTCGTAATAATTCGTTATCACGCATAGATTTGTGCTAAATGCGTAACATGACAACTTTATTATCACGCATGTGTTTCTGCAAAATGCGTGTTTCATCCAAAATCACTTTGAAATGCGGGACCGTCCCGCACGATGCGAGACAATTTGTAATGCCTTTTGTAAGTCAGGACCCAATAGTATTTTGTCCTCAGATAACGCTGCGCGCTATAGTTCTGTCCATAAATAATTATCCCGAGTAGGACATTTTAGCCCCCGCCCCAATAAATTATATCCTTGAGCCGCCACTGCTGGGAAGTATCCCTGGTCATTGCTGCTTACCATTCTACCAGGTACACATTTATATTCCTCGGCGGAGAGAGGCCAACGTAAGTAAAGTGCCTTGCCCAAAAAGACACAAGCAATGCGACGACCGTCGGTCTCGCACTTCCGATCTCACAATCAGAGAAGTCCAATACTTTACACGCTGCGCCGCCACACGCTCCTATGTGCGGCGTTAATTCTTCTGAAATTATGTCCCAGTTTTTTTGTTTTTTTTGGGGTATTTATTTTAGATGTGAATTAATGGTCATGATTGGGAGAGATACCATTTATAACTTGGGTGCTACTTACAATGTTCGGTGTGGTTGCCGCAATTAAGTCAAGTGTGCTATCCTCTAGTAGTATCTTCCACTGTTGGACTAAATTGTAGTCATCTGGTATAACACTAAATTTTAGCTTTGTGTTAAAAGGTTGACGATTGTTATTTGGTTTTTTGAAAAAGTGATCTCGAATTAGAGGGGTCTCGAATTGGAGGGGTCTCAAATTGGAGGGTGCACCGAGCAATTGTCAACTGCGGACATACAGTATTCGACGTATGTATACAATTCATGCAAAAACTGTAATATCGTAGCCAAGTTTCGAAGCCAAATGTTTATAGAGGGCGCTAGACTAAAAAACAACTTTGTACAACACTGTTATTATACAAAACAGCGACTTCAAGATTGTGTAATGGTTGGACTATTACCAGGGCGTAGGCATGGGCAGCGCAAATCACTGCATTGCAGTGCAAAGCACTGGACCCCGGGGCTATTTTGGGCCCGTTCAAGCCTATAGATCTAAAAATATAACTTTAAAAAAATCCTACTTGAATTTTAAAAGGACCCCTTAATAATTTTATGTTGTGAAGGCAAATTATTATTGATTATATTCATTCAGAGATCCGACTGCCCTGATTTTGTATGCACACAATGGAACGTTAAAAAAATGTACTGCCACGATAGTTGATCCATCTGTATTACAGTTCGAATATAGTTCGCTCGAAACTCGTCTTTTATTAAGGATACGCCCCTTCGTAGCAGTATGCCTACTTTCTGAAACATGCTTACGTTGCAACGAAACCACGAGTTCTACATCCTTTTGCATATTACCTATTTATTAAACTCTACAAGTAGGATGGCTGTTTACAAACAAGCTATTAAAAGCTAAGTATCTGTTGAATAGAGTCAATGCTATTTTATTTAATTCAGGTACAGTATTTACGTAAATAGGCTATGCTTCGTAAATACGCTATGCTTCGTAAATACGGTTTGATGCACTAAAACACTTTGAAAATTTAAAATACTGGCAAGCACGTTTTTGATTGATATATTTTAAAGTTGATTCAACTGCTTTGTGCACGTTTTTAATCACTATCAGATCATCATACTTCAAGAATACATTTTAAATTTACTTCACTGCAAGTAGGTCGATGATTGTTAGGCCTACATATTGTCAATATTATACTTAATATCAGACTCATGATATATCAGAGGCCATAAACGATAAAATATATATTTTTCTATGTTTTCTGTATTTGTTTTAGATTAAGCTTGTTATCATATTTGTAATTCAGTAATTCAATTATTAATTTTATTAATGAAACTTCTTGATATTTTAAATAGGCCTACCCTAAGCTTGTATCGCAAACACAGGACAATGTAAAACAGGCTGTTACATCACCCTAATATGTTATCCTGTATAATATTCAATAAATAAACAAATAAATAAATATATGACTTAAACGTTAAGAGGACTCCGCAATAATACTAGGTTACAGGCCATAAGTATTTTGATTATATTCATTAAAATTCACCTACTACCAAATACCGAAAGTAGGATAACTTTTAAACTCGTTTACAAACAAGTCATAAAGCTTCGTATCTGTTGAATACTTCAAGGCTATTTTGCTTAATTCAGGTATTCAAGTATGTATGCTTCGTACGATCATAGAGCTCTATGGTACGATGCACTAAAATACATCCTGAAAGCATATTTCTAAAGCAAGTTAAATATTGGCACGCGCGTTTTTGTTTGATATTTTTTTAAAGTCGGTTCAGCCATATTGTGCAGAGTTTTGAATCAGGTCAGCCCATACTTTATGAATACATTTTAGACTTACATCACTGCAAATAGGTCGACGATCGTTCTATTGTGGTCAATCTTATACTTTATCAGACTCATGAAATGCCTAATAGGCCCTAGGCCTAAACGATAAAATATAGGCCTATATGACTTGATCATATTTTGTTCTCAATATCTTTTGTTCTGAATATTTTTTTTTTTTTTGAATATTTTATAGATATTTCTGCGCCTGGCAACCGTATGTTTTAACAAATCTCAAAATGTGTGAGCATTAAGAGTTTCACCGAAGTAAACCCCACTAAGGCTCTGCCTCTGGGTCCGATCAGATGCCTTTTAGGGCCCAGCAATTACCTTGCACTGAGGCCCGTCACTCCCTCACTACTCTGCTGCTTATTAGGCCTAAAGCGCAAAATGTCGTCACAATGAAATATGAGTGTTGCATTTGTAGACTGTTGAATTTTGCAGTAAACCTCAATTGTTTTGTCGTGATCGCATTGTCGCAAACACTTTGTGATGACAAAGCTATCTCTCGCACTAATTTATAGAACAGAATTAGACTGACATGACTAATCAACAACCGCCATGACGACTTACTATAGCTTACTTAGCTTATTAGAAACTATGTTGCATCTACATAAACAAAATACATTTAAGTACTACAAACCATTTCATATTACATTCACTTTATTATCATACTCTATTTAGTTTTATATTTTTAGTTTGTATTTGTTTTGTTTTTGTTTGCTTGTTTTTTGGGGTTTTTTTGGTAAATTGAATGCACTGAGAATTCTTGCGCCACTGTGTCAAATGGGATTCAAATAAATTGAAATTGAATAATACAGTACTTGGTGTGACCGTTTTCATGACCGCGAATACGAATTTTAAGATAATTACCTCTCCTAACCACTTTAATCCTTATACACACTTCAAGAAATGATCATCTACATACTTTTTATATTTTTAGATTACTTTATTCTTTATCATAAAATACAGCAATTCAAATCAGTGGCATAACACCTATGCACTCTCATGTGGCGGTCCACAGGGCCCCCAACCTCTAGGTCCCTCAATCTAGCACCCAGACCAAAAAGAACTTTGTTGATACATAACAATATAATGTGTCTCTGAAATCGACTGTAGGGCATATATCATATTATATTCAGTGGCGGAATAAACAGGGGAGGGTGCTTAAGCCCCGGGGCCCCACTAAATTTGTCAAAATATTTTTTAATGGGGATAAAAAAAAGTTATATTCACAGCTTTGTCTGTGAGTGCCATTTCCAGCCATCTAGAGGTGCCATAATCATAAATAATTGCCTCAGCCCCAACCATTGTGGGGCTGAGGTGGTACAGACTCTCTAACTGTGAAAGTCCTTCCCTGGCCCCTTTATTTCAAATACCTGGATCCCCCACTGATATTATATCATTCATTCATCGTTAAAAACATTTAGAATAACAATGAAAACATGACTGAAAAACAAGCACATCTGAAATCCTACGACGGAATTGGCGACTGGGACCAAAAAAGGGCCCCCAGTTTCAGAAAGCCACAGGGCCCCCGCCAAATCGTTACGCCACTGTTCAAAACAATCACGACACTTCATCCGAGAAAGGGAAAAAAACTTGAAAATCCTGGAAATTATACCGACTGTGTTGAGCTAAATATCGGAACAATATCATTCAATAATTGAATATGTATATAGAGGTCTCCATCCAAAAAAAGACTCCTTCTATTAAAGACTGCTTTTCTGTGTTCCAAAATTAACAAATGTCCAAAGCTGCTAAAACACATGGAAACCCCAGTCCCAGAAGAGATCTGTAATTAGAAGGAGACCTGTATTTAGGTTAACAGCTTTCAAACGAACATCAGAAGGAGGCAAGTTTCCTTGCCAATTAAAAATTATGTCCAACAGATAGGCATATAATACTCTCACAATTATTTTTTTGAGATTAATACTGAATCACAGTTTCATAACAATCCTAGATACAATGTTTGTAGTATGGTATATCATGCATTCTGACTATACTCAGTTACAATATAACATTATTGTCACTTAAAACTGCTATGAATATTTCAGTTATACAATTAATGACAATTAATTCATTATTGTTTGGGGAAACTAGTGGGAAATATAGGCCCCTATGTTAGACAAGAACCATATTCATTATGGAAGTTTTCATTTGAAACATTTTTTTTCCCCAATTTTTTGTACCAAAAGCAGTTATCCAAAACTACCATTTTTGTTCTTAATGTAAAACACCAAACCTGTATACATTTTCTATTTTCCAAATACTTTCATTTTTTTCCCCAATTTTTGTACCAAAAGCAGTTATCCAAAACTACCATTTTTGTTTTTAATGTAAAACACCAACCTGTATACATTTTCTATTTTCCAAATACTTTCAACATGCACTGTCACAATTTCCCAGTAAATAATCAGAGCTTGTGGGTTTGTAATAACAATTAGTTACTGACAATAGCATTAATATGCTTTGCTTGACCGTTTTATGAATACTACTTACTGTCAAAATATTACTTCATAGCTGAAAAAATAATCGTGTGTGTCTGAAATTTTTAACTTGGTGGATACAAAAAAGTAATCACTGAAAATAGCATTACAGTGCTTTACTTTATGGAAGATTTTGATGGTACGGTCCCATCGTTATAGTACGCCCTCTAGAGCTTGGTTGGGTTTGTTAGTTATTATAGAAACATGTAGCAAACACAGATACTGATATATCGAAACTAATGGTAATTATCAGTTTGTTACAATTTACTAGGTGAGATGCATAACCCATACAAGAGTCAACCTCTTTAAAATTTAGCAACATTGAGATAGATTCAGACAATGTAAGGCCTACATGAATTTCAATTATGTTAGCATAATGGAAACATGATTCAGACACTATCAATGAATTTCATTGAGCATCATTAATACACGATTCCAACACTGTAGATGAAATTGGTGAAACATAAATCCAACACTCTATGCCTACATGAATTCTAATTAGTGATAACAACTCTATAGAGGAACTACATCATTGACACACTGTAAACTAAATTCATTTGCATCATCAGAACATGATTCAGAAACTAATATAACTTCAATTTTAGTATATTGGAAACAAAAGTTTTGTACTGTACTTTCTAAAATTATCATCACTGAGCATCATTAAAACAAAAACGGTCTATAAACTTCATTATTTAAAACATGATCCACACACAGTACATGGCTTCAAAACAATTGTTTACGGTATAGCATTGTCAACTACACTACACTGCAGATGGACTATTACAACAACACAACTCACTTAGCATCATTGGAACATGATTCAGACACTGTAAATTAACTTCATTTACTGTATACGTATCATCAAGGCATTATTCCAACAATGCACTTGGCCTTCAATGAATACTGTACATGAACTTCATTGCAACTTTATTCTGAAAGTATACATGGGTTTAAATTGGTATTGAAACATGGCCAATGCAAATGAACTTCATCATTGTAAAACTTTACTGTACATGGATTTCAATAACACTGTACATAAACTTCAATGCAAATTTATTTAGACACATGGTCAATGCAAATGAACTTCATCGTTGTGACATGATTAAGACATTTTGCTGTACATGCATTTCAATTAACACAGTAAATGAAATTCATTGTGACATTATTCAGAAAATATAAATGGGTTTTAATTGGTAGTGTGGAAACATGGTTCAGAAAAGGTAAATGAACATCATCATTGTAACATAATTAAGAAACTGTACGTGGATTTTCAATTAGCATTGTTTAAACATGATTTAGAGACAGTACATGAACCTCATTTAGTGTCACTGAAATATGATTTAAACACGGTACATCAACTTCAATTTAGCTTCACTGAAGTATAACTCAGACACAGCAAGATAACTTCATTTCGCTCAAACACGTTTCATACACTGTACTGTACATGGGCTTGAACTTTTCTGTATCATTGTTGAAACAAAATTCAGACACTGTACATAAACTTCATTTTTCTGGCATTCCATTTAAATATAGTTCTCGCGTTAAAATTATAATACCAGACACGATTTCAACAAGAAAAAGAACATAAATGTATACAAATAGAAATTAAAAAGTTTATCAAGAACCAAATTATTAAACTGTATGTGGACTTTCAATTAGCATTGTTGAAACATGATTTAGCGACAATACAAGAACCTCATTTAGTATCATTGAAATAAGATTTAAACACTGTACTTGAACTTCAATTACTGTAGTATCATTGAAGTATAACTCGGACACAGCAAAATAACTTCATTTAGCAACACTAAAACATGTTTCACACACTGTAATGTACACAGGCTTTAACATTTCTGTATCATTGTTGAAACAAAATTCAGACACTGTACATAAACTTCATTTTTCTGGCAATCAATTTAAATATAGTTATTGTGTTAAAAATATAATACCAGATGCAATTTCAACAAAAAAAAATTGGAACTTTCTAGCCAAATTATTATATTAGCACTGATATACTTCTTGGTCAACAGTATTGATAAAATTTACAACCTATTCATGTAAAACTCAAACAAACAATGTAAACCCTTTCATTTTTTCAACCATAAAATCTCATGATTTTGTTTATCTGGGACATTCAATTGACCTTTAAATTTTACAACTTGCAGTCCCAGAAAATGTTATGATTCCATATAAAATTAATAGCTGTCAAAGAAGTGGTAAGAATACCAACAGTAAGCTGACACCTCTTAATATTTCCAACGATTTTATAAATAAAGATGATTAATAGAATTACAGGATTTGTAAAAATGAAGGGGTTTTACATTTGCATAATACAGCAACAGAAATAGTTTGCAGCTATGCAACGGAAATCGTTCACACATTACTTACAGTAGCAACAAATTCATGTACACCATCACTTAAAGTTTCATGTGTTCTTAGTATTCTCTGAATCTGATCTTGGTGAGTTCAATGGGGACTTCAGCTCTGAATTATTGTTATCTTGATGAGGAAAGTTGAAGGAATCCTTTAAACTTGAGGCATGGATCTCCCCTCGAAGGCTTGATGTCTGAAGCTCGCTCTGTAGGCTTGAGTTCTGGAACTCCCCAGGGAGGCTTGACGATCCCTGGAATTCCTGTACACCAGTATTTGATGGATTACTGAACTGGCGGAAGTAGTTGTAAACCTTGTTCAGTGGTGACACTATTAAAAAAAGAATATATTCACTTTATGCATATAAATGTACTGTATGTAAAGATATAATCAATGTCTGTGAGCTGAGCGGTTGACTGAGGGGTTGTTACTGCTTCTTGTGGCGAAAACACCGGTTGAAACCAGGCCAGCAGCGAGTTTGAATTGGAGTCTGATTGGTTGGCTCCTCGAATAACCCCCATTTTGGGTTAAGGGCAATGATTGTATCATGTCTGTTATATGTTGTAGTTAAGTTGGGTGACGCTGCACTGCAGGTCCCTAGCTCAAATTTCCCATTTCCAATTAGAATGTGGTCAAATAAAAAAAGGCCAAAAAAAACCAACCAATTGTTATATTGCCCTTTACCGACCAACAATGAAAATCAAAAAAATCATGCCAGTTCTTTCTTTTATTTTTTTCAATATTAAAAAAAAATATTTTTTAAGCTAAAAACCAAAATAAAACATTTTTCATAGATTGAAGTTATCAAAATATTGAGGTTTCTGTGTCAATTTCTTTCTAAAATGGAAATATCATCTAGTTATATTGAGTCAAGTAGTCCAACATCTTCCTATGCCAGCTGAGCCTAGGCCTAGGATCTAGGATGGGGAGTCTACATACAACACACATTACTCTACTATGCATGTAATTCTCAAGTGAAGGAGGCCCTCTACTGGGCCTCTTCAAATCCAGTACTTATACAAAGAGTATAGAATTGCAAGTGGCCCGACTGCCCTTATTTTGTATGCGTGCAACGGAACGTTAAAATGTACTGCCACGAAGAGGCGTGTAGTACTTCAAAAGAACGTAAAAGGCGTTCGTATCTAACGTGTGCTGCGCTTCAAAACTCGAACATACGTTCTATAGATACGCAGCATTCGTTCGATACAAAAGCCTCTTATGTTCTTTTGAAGGACACGCCCCTTCGTGGTATTACTTTTTGATATAGGATTGCGTTCCAACGAAACCCCAACAGTCAGACCTCTTACAGATCTATACTCTTTGGTTTATGTCATGGCTTCACACATGCCCAACGCGACAAAATCTATTTTAATTATCTTTTCAGCTTTAAAGTCAATATAGTGATTGGTTGTTTTATTAAATTATCAATATACATACTAAACAAGCATCCATGGAAGTTGTGTTGGAGTAAAATCCACAATCTCAGTATTTAAGAAGATAAAAATGTCCGACTAAAAACAAATTTGTGTAGGGGTACACAGTGAGAAACTAGGCTTAGGCCCCCGGGTGAGATAAAAAAGGGAAAAAAAACAATTACATAAATAATTACTAATAACAAGAACCATTAAGACAAAAGTGAATAAAGAACACATTTCCAAAGTAATAGATAACTTACTTGGCGGAGTAGGAGATCCAATTGGTGATGCTGGCGTTGCCTTCCTTGGGCTTCCAGTTGCTGGAATGCCGGAATCGGGAATATCAATCTCTTGGGACTGCTGTCTCTTTTGAATCTGATGATACTTGCGTAGGCTGGTGTGGCAACTCCCTGGTGCCACAAACATACTCCCAGGAATTGTAGACATGATGAAACTACACTCACATAAACTTAAACTACAGTACACAGAAATATTTGGCACACTAGGAAAAAAAAACAAAAGAAACAGGATAAAAATATTTTATTACATTTTGAATGATAACAGTTGCCAAATAGATAAGTTGATGGATAGAAAATTGCAGGGGTGGTGCAAATGGTGCGATTGCACCACCTAAATTGTATTAAGAGAAATAATTGCTGGAATGTATTTTTGATATATTATTTTTTTTATTATGAACATAGTACTGGTCCATATTCTAAAAAATTTTCTCACCTCAGCCCCAACCATAGTTGGACTGAGATGGTGTGGACTCTCATGCACCATCTACCGCCAAATCTTGCACCAGCCCCAGGCAAGTACACTCGCCACTTACAGGATGGAAGGACGCTTTATAAACCAAGTCACTTATCCAGGTCTAGGGAGTGAGGTTGTTTTTTAGTTGTGAGAAATATTCCTGCTGTGACAGGAATTGAACCCAAGAACTTAATTTCCAACAGGGAGGTATCTAGAGAGGCACAAGCTTATGTTTTGAGGCATATGCGCCCTCACCCCCACAGATATGCCACTGGCACAAGGACTATTTTTAAAATTTAAACATTTATGGAAATCCTGTGTACTGTACTTACAGTACCTGCAGTAAAGATACTTCCATGATTATATATACAATAAGTACAGTTACTAAAATTGCTCTCTTTAAATTTAATAAAGAATAAAACAATGCTAATGTACTTACCTTATACTATATATTTTTAATATCTATTTAACACAATATCTATGGCAACCTTGTATTAGTCTGCCTCGTTAATTCTTGTCCTCAAAAAATATTGCAACCAATCGTCGTTGCAACGTCCAGTGCTCGCTGACATCAACATGAAATCTGTCAAATGCAACAACTCAGCGAGTCCTGAAAATCAAGCAAAAAATATAATGTTTTAGCTGTCAGCTGTTTTGCCGTTTTTCCAAATGTGCACATTAAGAATCTCACACAGTGGTCTAAATATCCTCCCAAGAGTCCACCAGAGGTTTAACTAGGCATTAGCTACTAAAAAATCAATACCAATCAATACTACTTAGCCTTGGTGGCAGTGTTGGAATCAACAACCGAACAAATAAAGATTTTAAAAATCTTATACTTTGCGACTGAAAGTAGAGAGATTATCAAAGAATTACATTTGCTTATATTTAGAGGATGTGTTTTTGTTTTTCATAGATGATTAAATGCATGACTATATTTTGCAAAAAGAGCTAACTAGAAAAATATATGAAAAGGTTGTGTCACACTACAATATATAACAAAGCAATTTGATCTTTTAATTATTTACTGGATTTAATGTTGTATCCATGGATGGATGGACAAAGAAACATACGATCAATACACAATGCATCACTTTGGTGCACCTGAAAATCTATGGTAGAAAGGATTAAAGCTTGCTTGCCTTCTAATCCCAAATTACTAGGTTCAAAAACTCCTACTCACAAAGCCTCATAATTTGAATTTGAATAGAGTGCATGCTTCTTCTATTCTGTCGGTAAGCTGATTACATAAATGGGGGGAAACCCACAAAAAAATTCTATTGAATTATAATATTAAAGAAGGTACAGAGTGTGAGTACTGTACTTGATGTAGTTGCAAGGTCAATGTTGTCATGTTGTATAATTTGACAATATTTATTCCATAAGTTACAAGTCTATATTAAAAGATCCCAACATTTCAGTACATTCCAAGATACATTATGTATTGCACAACATTAAATAAATAGTATATCGTAGTTTCCCGGGTATAGTCCCACCTCGGGTATAATCCCACCCCTGACTTTACATCCAACTTCGTGTACAAGCATTCCCCCGGGCAAAGTCTCAGGGTATAATTTGGGTGAGGAGGTCAGTAAATTTTTACAAATCCTCATCAAAATTAAAGGAATATTAGCTCCAAACTTGGCTTGGAAATCTTTCAATTGATTAGACTAGACATTGGTCACCATAAAGTTGAATACAAAGCCCATCCTTGTAAAACTCATAAATACTGCCACTAAAATAACCAACAGCTCACTAACTGCAGCTAAAAATATTAGACTAGGAGCAAGTTTTTTGTTCCGGCTGCTTCTGCCACTAAGTTTTATAATTCTTTAGCAATAAAATGGGCAGTGGCTATCAGCTCATCAGGCAACACATTATGACATCCAGAAGAAGGAGTCCTTGTATAATCTCATTGAGACACAGGAGTCACTACAGGTAAATATTGTAAAATTCCTCTGCTGTTAACTGTCCATAATGCTACAGTACAAAAACTAAAAATATACACAAACAATCATAAAATTACTGTAGTGTTTCCATTATTTGTTAACTTCACAGAGAGCTGTAGGCAACCACTTTCTCTCTCCTACAACAGTACTGCACATGCTGGTTCTATCTGGCAACCACATACTGTGTCTATGAGAGTAAAGTAACCTTTAAAATAATCTATGTCAGTGTCTAATAATATGCATACAATGTAGTATGGATGATATGTATCAGTTGAACTTTATATATCACTTGATTCAATTTCAGAGAACTTGTTTTCAAGCAGGTGTAACACATCTGATACTATAAATTACGTCATGGGGAATAACTAACAGACAGACAGAACACATTACATTAAAATGTACGGTAAATGTTTAAGATTTATTCATCTTGCAAATGACTATTAAATTCATCATGAGGGTTTACACTCTTTGCTTGAAAAATCTAGGTTGGCATCTATGGCCATAGTCTATTCTAAAAACCCATGGCCCCCATTTACAGTATTCCTGATTACACACTGCACTGCTGTGCTGATATATGATTTAAATACTGAATGTTGTACTGTAGCTTTGATCAAGAAGGTATTAAATAATTTGCTTTGTTGAAGACAACATGTCTAATCTGTTAACTATAATTCTCAAGCATCTGTCACTTTCTATCATGATATTGCTGACTATTAAATATTAACATTAACAATCTTTTTTATCAGCATTTCTACAATACAAGGCCTCATTTTTAGAATCAAAAAGGCTCCTACAAAAAAACAAAAATGTTTGGATATTAAACATGGATTAGGCCTATTAATTGAAATTCAGACATTTTGTCACTGTTTTCATGAAGAGACACAAACTTCAATTTCGACGAAAACAATGTTTTGGAAAAAAAACGTTTGAAGTGGACTACTTCACAATTATTCGTAAATTTCACTATCAAGATAACAAAATTTTAAATTTTTTTTACTTATTTCCAAAGATAAAGCATTAAACAATTCAAATGTTCAATTTATTTTTCTTTTATTACCTTTAATTAACCTGTTAATTAGCGTGAAGAATTTGTGTCTTTTCGTGAAAACGATCAGAATAAACAGAGCGTATGTTGTTACACGTAGAGTGAAGTTTGTGTCTTCGTGAAAACGGTACACGCTCTACAAGCTCCATTGTTTAGACACAAACTTGCTGTGGCGAAAACAGGCCCACAAACTCGGCTTATCCTGCTTAAATCATTATGTTTTTACTAATAATTCCACATTTGATGCACATGAATAGACCTATTCCAAGTATACTGCAAGAATTGTACTGCTATGCGTAGGTAAGCTAGAAAATCTAATCTTTACATCTACTGTAGCCCTAAGCAAGTAGGCCTTACGTAGAGATCACAACGATTGCAATGCCACACACGCGTCTTTTAATAACCCACTGAAAGTTTGTGAATGTAACCATAATGTCTGTACTTGAGTTAATTTTAAACAGAAATGCATGGTCAGTCCTTCGATAGTACTTGGATGATGATAGCATAGAATATCGCGCAGAAAACTTGATCTCGTACTAGAACGAAAAGGCTTCTTGAATCTACAGTACAACTTTGCATTATCCCAGAACTGCAAAATTCAGACAGCTTGAAAGGTGGAATATGACTACTGTACCACCATGAACACATAATATACACATGCCTTGTACATGTATGACATCATAAGCAGTCTTGACTAGTTATGCATGGTTGCACAATAATGCTAGGTAAAGAGTAATTGCCTGACACATATTCACACAGACAAAATGCTCGATCTATTTTAGGGTACAACCTAGAATGTGAACTAATATACCAAATTACTCTAAGAGCTATAATTTCACGAATTTCTTGGATAGTAGGTACGATTACAATTAACAAACAACAAAGTCCTATTGGTTATGCATGGAGTGGTGTTGAAAATGGTTACCGTCTACAGTGTAATGAAGTTAGCAAGAAGATGTACATATTGTACTGTACCTTCATGTACTATTGTGTATTCCGATTTAACTTTTAAATTACAATAATGTACGGTAACCAAAGCCTTGCTCCTGGCATCAATGTTCCTATGCATGATACTTGACTTTATCGGAAAACATAAGGTTTGGTCAAATTTAGGTGGTGGTTTAATTACTTGAACAATTGAGGGGGAGAGAGTTTTTATGGCCCAAAATAGTGATTTTAGACCACATTGGTAATGTTGATAGGCAAATTACAGTAATATTTTTAGCATACCAACATGGTACTTAAAATTTTGTAGAATAATAAATAACACAAAAGTTGTTGTTATGTACGCGACTGTCGGCTGCCTTTTATTCTACACTTGTCTTCAGTTTGCATTGAAAGGGTACTGCTAAATTGCCAGCTGTTTGGAATATAATACCTTCATATTAGTCTACGTTATACAGCCACTCCCCTGCATCCGCCACGTTAAAATAACAATTACAATTAAAAAATAACTTGCAAAATGATGTTTGCAGCAAGACTACTCATACAACAATACTCATACAACAATCAGAAGCAAACGTCACATGGAGTTGGCGAAAAATTGAGATCAAATGAAAAAACTATTTCGCCAAAATGGCTAATGCAGTTTTTTTTCGCCAATCCAAAATAGTTTTCGCCCATGGCGATTGGTTAGCGTGAGCCCAGACCGAACACTGAAGAACTTTGTATTGCGATGTTAAAACAAAATGTCAGAATACTTTTTCTTGACGCATGTGCAATTTCACTTTAAACGGCCACATACATACACAAGCAAAAAAGTTCCTATTGCATCATGCAAAGTAACTAAAAATTATAGTATGGCCTATGGTAGGTATAAATGAAATAAACAATGCTGAATTGAACTAAGTTTTCTCCTTAAATCTTGATAGTTACAACATATTGTAAAAAATGCATAAATATGCAAATATTCGGCTGGCACTGGATTAGTGGTAATGTTATCAGCTGGTACTACAATCGAGTGAACACATACATACAGTAGTTATTAGTTTTTAAATTATGAAATTCATTGAATTTTATACTACAGTAGCTCTAGCGAATGCATCCTGCATGGTCAGTCACATGCAGCTGTCACGTGTAATTTTAGAATGGAATATAGATTAACCCTAAATGAACATGTCAACACTCAAAATTCAAGTCTCTGCAATTTACATGAATTTAACCAAATAAATACAAAAACCCCCAATAGACCATACTGTAGGCTGCAGTTTTGGTACAATAATTTTGTATTTCTACAGTAGAACCTCGATTTTACGTATTGTATGGAACCAGAGGGCGTACAGTACCTAGACCAACAACGTACAACTGTAGGTCTAGGCCGTACGAATAAAACTATGTGTTTAGTGTTTTTTTCATCAATTTAATGCGATGTCATTATATGGTTCAAATAAAACCATGTGTCATTGTAGTAATTTATCCCTTTATATCTTTTATTACCCTTTGAGGTCATGACCCATATCCCATATGGGTTACTGTCCAAGGATGCTAGGCCCGTGTATATATGGTACGGGATGATTTTCCTGTTTGCTTTAGTAATGCTGCCCTCTGTAATTGCTGATTCTTTTTTAGTGGATTTTCTTAATGTCATAGTAACTAGAAATGGCTTAGCGATCGCAT